ACCAGCACCCATACTCTCTTCTGCCCCTCTCTGCCCCTCTCCCCTGCCTGCATTGTTTCTTCATCCTTAGGCCTCTTTTCAGTACCTCCTTTAAATCCAGGGTATCCTTGATCCAGAAGGGTCTACAGCACTCTGTTGCCCTCCCCTCCGCATCTCCCTGATACCGCAACCTCTGCTTCCCTCTTTGACTCAGGCAGCCTGACTTATGGGATCTTAACATGGAGGAAATGTGCAACTCTTTTTTTTTTAATTTTTTATTTTTTATAAACATATAATATATTTTTATCCCCAGGGGTACAGGTCTGTGAATTGCCAGGTTTACACACTTCACAGCACTCATCATAGCACATACCCTCCCCAATGTCCATAACCCCACCCCCCTCTCCCAACCCCCCTTCCCCCAGCAACCCTCAGTTTGTTTTGTGAGATTAAGAGTCACTTATGAGTTGTCTCCCTCCCAATCCCATCTTGTTTCATTTATTCTTCTCCTACCCCCTTAACCCCCCCGCCATGTTGCATCTCCACTTCCTCATATCAGGGAGATCATATGATAGTTGTCTTTCTCTGATTGACTTATTTCGCTAAGCATGATACCCTCTAGTTCCATTCACGTCGTCGCAAATGGCAAGATTTCATTTCTTTTAATGGCTGCATAGTATTCCATTGTGTATATATACCACATCTTCTTTATCCATTCATCTGTGGATGGACATCTAGGTTCTTTCCATACTTTGGCTATTGTGGGCATTGTTGCTATAAACATTGGGGTGCACATGCCCCTTTGGATCACTACGTTTGTATCTTTAGGGTAAATACCCAGTAGTGCGATTGCTGGGTCATAGGGTAGTTCTATTTTCAACATTTTGAGGAACCTCCATGCTGTTTTCCAGAGTGGTTGCACCAGCTTGCATTCCCACCAGCAGTGTAGGAGGGTTCCCCTTTCTCCGCATCCTCGCCAGCATCTGTCGAAATGTGCAACTCGATTTCTAGGGAGAACGGCTGATCCAAACAGTGGACTGGGTCAGAGCCGGGAAGCAAACACTAGCTGTCATAGATGCCAGAGCAAGGCAAGGTGAACGCCGCCAGGATTCCCAGGGAGCTGAGCATGCTTCCCCCAGATCTGGACACTAGAGCTGAGTGTCCGCAGAGGGGGAGGTCACCAGGCTGATGGGTGGGAGAGGATAGAGGGTGTCCCAATCCCATGCATGAGTGAGGGGCTGCACTGAGGGACCAGGGGAGGGGGGTTTGCTGCTCTGTGGCCCAGGGGAGATAAGGGCCCAACACCTTTCAGTAGCAGTTAGGACTGCCCCACCAGTGGACCGGTTTCATGCTGGCTTTGGTCTGTGAACTCACCAGATAAATAGATCAGCCTCTTTATTGATGTTTTTTTCTGTTGGAAACTTTAAGTTCCAAACAGCTGAATTAGAAGCATTACAACCCTTGCCCCACCCCCACCCCCGCCAAGGGCAGGTCTGGGTTTCCACTCTTCTCTGTGTGGGGGATCAGCTTTCATAGCTTTTCCCCCCCCTCACTACGAACCCTTTTTTCCTTTTTGAAGTCTATGAACCAGGGATTCCTGTCTTTAGAGCTATTTAAGCAGAAATGTCCTGGCAAGAGCAGCACAGAAGGGATTCCTGCCCCAGAAGGAGGTCATGGGGGTGGGGGTGGGGGGGGGATCGTGGCCAGTGAAGAGAGCCTGTGCCTGCAGCCTCCAGGCCCCCATCTGAACTGTGTGTGGTCTTCCTGGGGCCACTGCAGGCGGCAGCCGGACCATCCCCACACAGGTGCCCCAGGGAAGGATTTCCTGTTTTGGATGAGCCTCCAAGCCTACTAGGGCCACAGGTTTCTAGAAGGCCCTCATACAGCTTTTCCAAACACAGCTGTGGGGCTGGCAGTCTGGGCACCTAGCTATACGCAGATGAGGCAGCTGGGGGTCTGGATTGCTCACACTCTAGCTCCTCAGCAGACGTGGCTCCTAGTAGGGGGAGTTGGAGGCAGCAAGAAAGCCCCAACAAGCAATGCACACCTGCAGACCAGAGAGATGAGGCCTCGAGGCTAGGCTTCTGAATCTGTCTGTTGCTCAGACTTATTTGGAGGTTGTAGCTGGTGAGACACACCTGCCAGTGTCTCGTGACAGACTGTAGTTAGAGGACCGTGAGTGGTGTGATGATGAAACGCTGTCCTGGGCATGGACTTCGCACAGCCTTGAGCTTGAACTTGACTGCAGGAGCTCAGGCAAATTCTTCACCTCTGGAAGCCTCCTGTTTCCTTGCTTGTGAAACCACGTGTTTCCAGAAGCTGGACCTGAAGGCCGGGAAGCAGGAGCTGCCATATCATGGGTAATCAAGTCTGATGAACGCACGAACCTGGGCGCTGGGCTCGGAACTGGTACCTGTCCAGTAAGGGGCACCCCCACATGGTGGGGATGGGGGGCAGTGAAAGAGGTCTGACCCCTGTCTTTTGACCTGGGACCATCAGGAAAGCAGAGGCCTCTCCTCTCATCTACAGAATTTGTGCCTGAACCAAGACTGCAGGGCACTGGGTTGTTTAATTTTGCGGGTGTAGAAAGGAACTATTCTCCATATTGTTCAAAAAACCCAGTGACTTTCATCTGTGGAACGTGGTGATTTTGCAAACTCCGATGAGTTCCCAGAACACCTTCTTGAGCTCGGCCGCTGATGGCTCTATGGGCGAGGAAGAGAGCAGGCAAGGTAACCTGCCCCACAGCTCGGGGTGGGGGTGGAGCGGTGACCCCTCCCTGGACGCTGGAGAGTGAGCGTCCGTCTCTGCCCTGTCCTGGCTGCGGTTGGACGGTATCTGCTTTCTTGTCCTGGCTTCGCTCAAGCAGCGGTTGATGCGGTGGCCAGGAACTGTATGGGCTCTGCTTTCGCTGACTGACAGGGTATGGGGCCCAGGAGGGAGGGGGCAAGGTAAGTCATGGGTTCGGGGACAGTTTGTGACAGGCCGGCAGCGCTTCCTCAGAGTTATGCAAAGAATTACCGTGTTCTTTATGTTACTACCGGTCACTGGCTGACTTGGGCCTAGAGTGCTTGGTGGCAGTCCCAGCAAAGTCAGGTCATGGCCGGTCCCCAGTGGGCAATGTGGACCTGGCTCTGGCAGGAGTCCTCACTTAGACGCTTGATGTGTGGATTCCAGACTTGGCTGTTTAAATATGGCCAGAGGAGGACACCTGGGTGGCTCAGTTGGTTAAGCGACTGCGTTTGGCTTAGGTCATGATCCTGGAGTTCTGGGATCGAGTCCCACATTAGGCTCCCTACTCAGCAGGGAGTCTGCTTCTCCCTCTGACCCTCTCCCTTCTATGTTCTCTCTCTCTCACTCTCTTTCTCAAGTAAATAAATCTTTAAAAAAATAAAATAAATATGACCAGAAGAATCCCAAGAGCCATGCTTCCAAAATGATCAGCAAGAAGGAATTGCGTGGAGAAAGGCGTTCGATTTTACTTACCTGCTTTCCCTCCTCGCCCCCTGCCCCTACTCTAGTCCCAGTATCTGGTTCCTGGGCTGTGTAAGGGTTTGGGAAATCCATGCCAGACCTCCAGGAAAAGCGGGCCACTGTTTTGTGATGTTTCTTATCTCAAAGGCCAAAAGGAAAGCCCTAAGCGTGATTGTTCTACCTGTGCCTAGTTAAGTTTCTCCCCTGAGAATCAAGGCCTTCTGTGTCTGCACCTGAGTGGAAAGGGGAAGGGGCCCTCACAACCTGCATGCAAGAGTGGGTGCTGGTGGAGCAGTACCAGCACCCACCTCTGCCTCTTTCCTGTGCTGACTTGATTCAGCTCTCTTCCAGGCTAACCTATAGGTGGCTCAACCTGTGTGTGGCCACCGGGGTATCTTTCTACATTTCAGTTTTAGGAAGTCATTTTAATTTAGTGCATGCTGATTGTGTAAATCCCAAGAGTTTCCTTCTTTATTGGAACTTTGCTGCTCTTTCCAGAAACCTCCAGTACTGTAATGGGAGGGCACAGAAAGTCCTCTGCTGGTAGGGGCATCTTCGTGGGCGTGCAGCCTGTGTCTTCTGACGGACTCCCTATGCTCACATGCTGTGCAGTTGCAGTCTTGAAATTCCTAATGGTTTTTACCCTTGAATTTGTGTTTCAAAAGTGAAGTCCAGTGGGACAGTAGAGAGTGTCCTGGGGACTTGGAGCCTCGGCTCCCATAATCCCACTGACTGCCACCTCCCTGCCTCCCCTGAGGGGGTTCTCACCCCTGCCAAATTCTGCCCCTGGCAGAGCCCGGACACAAGAAAAGTTGGTGTTAGCTCCATAGCCTGTTTGGTGAGTGACTAGACAGGGACAAGGCTGTCCCCTGCCCTTGTCCCTAGATACCCGATGCGTCCAGACACAGACTTTGTAATACCCTTGGGGGTCAGTTGTTCACCTCGGTTGGAGTCCCTGGGAAGAAGAAAGTCCTGTCCAGATGGCCCTGCCCTGGCTGGGTCACAACACATCATCCAGCTGCTGGTGGGAAGGGAAATCAGCTGTGGGGGGTTACTTGTGCATGTACATACTTGTCCCTGGGCGCCCTGGGCACCTGCGAGGTTCGGAGCTCAGCCTGCCAGGATCCTTACACCTGAAAGAGAGAGAGATGACGGACACAGCGAAACCACCCTCATGACACGCACAGCAGCCTGAATTACTTAATGCTACCGAACTGTACACGTAAAAATGGTGGACAACAGTAGATCTTATGTGTGTTTCATTACAATAAGAAAGAATTACACAGTGTTTAAAAAAAAAACACTAGAACAGGTAGAGACCATGGAAGGAAGGAAAAAGATAATATATTGAGTACCTTTAATGGCACACTTTTTTTTGCTGCTTTTTGAATAAGGGTCCAACATTTTCCTTTTGCAGTGAGCCCCCCAAGTTATGTGGTCAGGCCTGCCTTTTGGCCACTCTGTAGAACTGTCTGGTCTTTTCTTTTCAAGGGCCCAGCCCTCAAGTCCTGAAAGCCTCTTACCTTTCCTCTCTTCTCCCCACGCAGGTCTCCTGTTGGCTGTGTGCCAGGCCCTGGAGAACAGCACATCTGCCCTGAGTGGTGAGTCCTGTCCCCTCTGGGGGATGGTGCGGGAGTACTGGATGGGAACAGACCTGGCTGGCAGGTGGAGCCTGCCCTCCAAGCTTCCTGTGGGCTCCTGCCCTTTCTGCTCTCGCAGGGCTGTCCCCTGCCCCCTGGGTGCCCTTCACACCAGGGGCCCGGTTGCACTCCTCAGGGGTCTTCGTTGCAGGAGCCGGGGTGCAGGGGACTTTCCCCTCCCCTAAGGCTTGCCATCTCCCAGCTCTGTTCAGATAGTCCTTGTGGGCAGGGGTGCTGGAGAGCTCCAGACCAGCCCGAGTGTTCAAGCTCACTCAGTAGTGGATCTATAGAGGAGCCCAGATTCCTAAAGCCTGTGTCTGCTTCTGCTTGGTGATCTTTGTTTTGTTATTTTATGTCGTCTTTTTTGACATTTAGTAATATTTCCCTTATTTGGAAGATCCTAGATCAACATATTGGGAGGTTTGGGAAATGCAGAAGGCAGACGTCTCCTGGTCAGAGTACTGCGGAAGCATCTACTTTCGAGTTGCTCTTAGCTTTGTCCAGATGTGCTCCTATTTTTACACAGTTAGTCGTTGTGAGGAAACGATGTTGATTCTTGCTTTTTAAACTCAAGTTTTCAAGTTGTACATTTCTTCATGTTGCTGAAAGGTCTTGAAATTTATCCTTTTAAAATGTCATGTCTGGGGCACCCAGATGGCTCAGTCAGTCAAGGATCCTTCTCTTGGTTTTAGATCAGGTCGGGATCTCAGGGTTGTGAGATCAAGTCCCACTTCGGGCTCCACACTCAATGGGGAGTCTGCTCCAGATTCTCTCCCCCTCTCTCTCTGCCCTTCCCCCCAACCCCTGCCAAGCTTGGGTATGCTCACTTGCTCACGCTCGCGGCCGCAAATAAATAAATAAATCTTTTTAAAAAGGTCATGATGTTCCACTAAAATGGATGTATGTAATTCAATTAAGCGTTCTCCACTGGATATTTATGTTGCCTCCAGTTTAGATTATGATGCTCCCTCTTCGTGCCTAGAAGCTTTTCCCTTCCTTCGGATTCTCTCCTCAGGGTATGTCTCTGGAAGCATGAATAAATATATTTATGACTCTTGTAACAAATTGCCAAATAGCTCTTCAAATGCAGTGAGCTAACTCTCATGCCAGAAGGTCATGAGTCTGCCAGTTTCACTATTCCCTTGCTATTCTGGGCGTGTGTTCCCAACTGTTTCTGCGGCGGACCCCTGCTGTATCTCCCTAGTTCTTTCAGGCAGGAAGATGTGTATGGCGAGGAGGCGTGTGGTTCTCACATATTCATAAACCCTCTAACCCTCTAACCAACCACACAGCGTCCCTGGTACTTTGCTCTTCTCCTCTTCCACACCTTTCACTCCAAACCCACTGGAGGGGATGTGGCCGCTCCTGCCAGCACTTCTGTGGCCCCCAAGCTCTCCCCCTTGGAGCGGTTATCCTTGATGCTGTTGGACCCTTAAGGTATCCAAGCCACCTGGTGGCCCATGATGCCACAGATGGAAATAACTCCCTTCCTCCGTGTTATGCTCTGCTTAAGGGTGTGCCTGTCCCAGAGCACCGCTGCTGGGGTGCTCGGGCTCTGCCAGAGCTGCTGCTTGTTAATTACCTCCCCCGTCACAAAGGGCTCAGATGTAAATATACTAGGGGTAAAGTGGGGGCATTGGATCGTGACCCCACCACGCTGGTCCCAGAATTGTCGCGTCTCCCTTCCTAGGATGCGTTTGTCCCCAGGTGCATCTTTAGCCCCTCCCAGTCCTCACTGGAGGCGAAGGGCCAGGTTCTCTGCTGAGTCACTTGCAGGTGGTAAGTTGCAGTGAGACCAGATGCTGGCACCGCCATCCAGTGAGGGCCGATGCTGATGCGGCCAGGTGCCCTGGTCACTCTAACCTCTTCCCAAACTCCGTCCATTCATACAGACAAGAAAGGCCTCGGGGGGTGTCCTCTCTGAGTGTCTTTTGTCAGGTGTGGCTCCTGCCAGGGCCCTTTGGGGTTTCCCAGTCTCTCCTGAGCAAACATGGGAAGACCTGCTGTATTCATCCCAGAATGACTGTCCTTGCTGCGCTAGTGACCAGCTTGTGTTCCATCTTTCTGGACTTGCTTCTATGAGAATATCTCTGACATCAACAAGTACCTGATGTTTGTTCTTCCTCTTTATGATAGACCCTCCCAAAACTCGTCACGCCCTCCTGCATTGCACGTTACCCTGTAACAGGCTGAGGGCTGCTCTGTGGCCCAGCGTGGCAGGTGAGGGCAGGGGCAATGCCATGATATCAAGCGTCCGGGGGACCTTGAGATCCTAGAGCTGATTAGAGGTCTGTGGAGAAGGAAGTGGGCTATCTGGCTGGCCTCTATTTGATAGGTCACTTAGCTACGGGACTTGGGCCCTAGAGAAGTTGATGGAATATCTCTCTCCCATTTTTACGTACTTTCTACCCTGCCCTATTGGATCCAGACAGGAGTCCAGAGAGGGCTGGGCGAGGAGGCGGGCCCACGTGGCAATGATGGTGTCAGAGCCAACTCTCCAGGCGCTAGGGCTTTGCACCTGAATCAGGCTTGTTTGCCTAACTTCCTCTTCCTCTAGGGTGACCTTCCTCCTCCTCAAAGACTCCTTGGGCCTTGGGAGGCCTTGACCACCCCCACTCTGTCCCTGGCAGACATAACTGAGATCCTGCTGTGGGTGCAATTCAAACTGGGGACCAGCCCACCAGACACTCATGACCCCCAAATATTGCGTATTGAACTCCTGCCTAGTTCAGTAAGGGAAACTATTTGCTACTGTGGACTAATGGGAATCTTCATACATAGAAGAGAAATAATAGTGAAATCAATCCCCATACATCCATCCCCTGGCTTCGGCAGTTAGCATCATCTGCCATTCTTCTTTCCTCTATTCTCAAACCATTTTGATTTTCTCCCTTTGCTGGGATATTTTAAAGCAAAGTCCATTTCTCTTGAATGTTACTTATAGCTCATAGGTAAGGACTTTAAAAAACAAAACCATAGTCACACCAACAGAAGTAACAATAATCCTTTCTTGTTAGATCTTAAATTTGGAGGGTAGATGATGCTGCATTCACAGTTTTGTTGTACTTCACTTAATTTGCATTTTCTTTAGCGTTTTCATCTTTTGCTTTCTACTTACATTTCCTTTTGGGTGAACACTGTTTTTTGTTAAGTGTGCTCCTTTGTAGATGGGGTGACTGACGTGCACATCTGAGTCCCTCCTAACCCCTTATTCTCTGGATGAGGGGGGGCTCCCTCACTAAATCCCAGAACTGTCCATTTAGGTGTAAAGTTGGGTTGTTATAGGGGTGTCTAGGTGGCTCAGTTGGTTAAAGCCTCTGCCTTCAGCTCAGGTCATAATCCCAGGGGCCTGGGATCAAGTCCCACATCAGGCTTCCTGCTCAGCAGAAATCCTGCTTCTCCCTCTGTCTTTCCCCCTGCTCATGCTCCCTCATTCTCTCTTTATATCAAATAAATAAATAAAATCTTTAAAGAAAAAAAAAAAAGATGGGTTGTTGTAGGACAGAAGCTATACAAGGTTTTATCCATGACATGAATATGCAAGTCTTTTCACTCTAAAGGTTGACAGGAATGAGAAACAGTAATGGATATAAGAAGGTTTTGATACATTCTTAAATTCTAGTACTAGAGCACAGGCACACTCAGGATTCAGCTCTAATGTTTTGATGGAGTATTACAGAGAGAAAATTGTAAACTCTGTGTACCAGTCAAGGGTGGCATAGGAACTTGAGGGAACATGGGGCTGATCCCATGTGGTTTTCTTGTGCTTTTGGGAAAAAAAAATTCCATGATCTTATTACTTGAAAGTTGCCTTTGGCCTTTCTTGTTGAGGTTTCATTGTTTTCTTCCAGTCTTTCCCTCTCTCAGAGCTCCAAATATGAAGGGTAAGTTATGCCAGAGGCATAGGAAACTGGCATATTGTCGTCAGTAAATGTTTTTCAGAAATCCACTTTGAGTGGGACACTGGAGAGATACATGCCTTAGGCTGGAGGTCAGGAATCTGGGGATTGGGCCCAGCTGGTCTGTTTTTGCCGAGCCCCTGGGCAAGTTGTCCATCTGTCTCCTGTTTGGATCTGAGTTTCCTCATCTGTTGGACTAGAATCAGGAAGAGCCTATGAGGTTTTTCACATGACCACTCTGATAAATTGGTAGAGATTGCTTGGTAGGCTTTGTTGAGAAGGGTTATAAGGCTGCCTGCGGGCTCTTAGGATATATGGCCATGACCCATGGGTGATGCCTGCCATGGACCCTATGTAGGGAAGCACTAGTGTGATGGCCATGTATTTCATTCTCTTGGAATCAGATGCTTTTTTACACTTAGGTTCTAAAATTCTAGTTCCTGGACTTCTTTCAAGACACGTCTCCAAAGGCAAGGGAAACAAAAGCAAAAATGAACTTTTGGGACTTCATCAAGATAAAAAGCTTCTGCACAGCAAAGGAAACAGTCAACAAAACAAAGAGGCAACCCACAGGATGGGAGAAGACCTTTTCAAATGACACTGTAGACAAAGGGCTGACGTCCAAGATCTATAAAGAACTCCTCAAACTCAACACCCAAAAAAACAGATAATCAAGTCCAAAAACTGGGCAGAAGACATGAGCAGGCACTTCTCCAAAGAAGACATACAAATGGCTAACAGACACATGCAAAAGTGTTCATCATCATTAGCCATCAGGGAGATTCAAATCAAAATTACCTTATACCAGGTAGAATGGCAAAAATTGACAAGGCAAGAAACAACAAATGTTAGAGAAGTTGTGGAGAAAGGGGAACACTCTTACACTGTTGGTGGGAATGCAAGTTGGTGCAGCCACTTTGGAAAACAGTGTGGAGGTTCCTCAAAAAATTAAAAATAGAGCTACCCTATGACCCAGCAATTGTACTACTGGATATTTACCCCAAAGATACAGATGTAGGGAAAAGAAGGGCCATATGCACCCAAGTGTTCATAGCAGCAATG